GGATGAGGAGGCCGCCCGAATTGCCATCCCGCTCGAAACGCCCGACTTCCATTCTCTCTCTCTCTCTCTCTCTCTCTATGTATGTATGTATATATATATATATATGTATATCGGCGGTGCGCCGTGGCACGAACCCCCCCCCAGCACTACCGGGGGGTTTCGTGCACTACCGGGGGGTTTCGTGCAGCCCGCATTGGGTGCCGCCAGCGGCTTAGAACACCTTCTTCTTGCCGCTTTACCGGGGGGTTCGTGCAGGCCGCATTGGGTCCTCCCCTGTCGCTTTACCGGGGGGGTTCGTGCAGGCCGCGCTGTGTCTACCTGGGCTCCCCCCCCCCTGTGGGAGTGGGGGGGTAGGAGTGCAGGCCGCATTGGGTCCTCCCCTGTCGCTTTACCGGGGGGGTTCGTGCAGGCCGCGCTGTGTCTACCTGGGCTCCCCCCCCCCTGTGGGAGTGGGGGGGTGGGAGTGGGGGGTGGGTTGGGGGGGGGGGCAGGGGGGCGGTTGGGAAGGGTGGCTCCCTGTCGAAGTGTGGCGTGTGCTCGCCTTGTGTTCTCTATTCGCGTCTGCTCGCCTTTGTTTCGCCTTCCTCCTCTTCTTCCTCCTCCTCCTCCTCCTTCTCCTCCTCCTGCTCCTCCTCCTCCTCTTCCTCCTCCTCCTCCTCCTCCTCCTACTCCTCCTCTTCCTCCTCGTCCTCGTCCTTCTCCTCCTCCTCCTCCTCCTCCTCCTCCTCGTCCTCCTCCTCCTCGTCCTTTGTAATGCAGATTGGGGCCACAAGCATGCGAGTTGCGCCGCAGCCTCTCGTATTGTGGCCACGAGCCCAGCAGTGCGAACAACAGGAATGCCGGAATGCCAGTTCCTCCTCCTGCTCGTCCTGGTAAGATTCGCGCGTCGGGGCTGGGGTTCGCGCGTGCCGGGAGCGCGCCGCTTACGGAGGGGTTGCGTCCTTACCGGGGGGGTTCGTGCAGCCTACCAGAGGAGGTCGTGTTTACCGGGGGGGTTCGTGCAGGCTCGCACTGGGAATGGCGCCAGCTCGAAACCCCCCAGGAGAGATTACCGGGGGGGGGGGGTTCGCTCTGCACCGGGCACCGCCGACATATATACTCAATCGTTTCCACTTTCGACATACTTTGAGGCCGAGCTTGCGTCGGACGTTCGCGGGCACCTGGAGCAAGGTTTACGCCGTCTGGCTGCACGCCGCGCCCAGTCAGCAGCGGTCGAGAACGACTGGGACCAAGTTCCGCGTGCGTTTCGGGCCAGGCTTACGAGGAAGATGAAGAAGGCGGAGACGAGGGGAGGAAGGGAGGAGGAAGGGAGGAGGAGCATGGAGAAGGAGGGAGGAGGAAGGGAGGAGGGAGGAGAGAGGGGGGAGGAAGGAGAAGGGAGGGGGGAGGAGGGAGGAGAATAGGGATATTATTAGGATCATGGAATGATGGTCCTGACGATGATGATGATAATGATGATGATGATGATGATGGCGGAGATGATGATGATGGTGGAATGATCATGGTGATGCTAGTGGTGATGATGAGCATGATGATGATGATGGTGATCATGCTGATGATCAGTTTGATGAAACTGGTACGTAATGATGACAAATGATGATCATGATGATGACGATGATGCTGCTGGTGTTGATGATGATGACGTGGACGACGATGATGATGAAAATGATCAGGAACATGATGATGGCGATGGTGCTGATACTGATGATCATGCTGATGATGGTGGTGATGATGATGAATGGTGATGATGTGGATGATTCGCATGACGATTATGATGCTGGTGCGAATGATAGTGATGTTGATGTGATGATAATGCTGATGGTGGTGGTAATGATGTTGAAAAGTACGGATGGCGGTGGTGATGGTGGAGATGAACACGACGATGATGATGATGATGATGATGATGATGATGATGATGATGGTGATGATGATGCTGATGATGGTGATGGTGCGAATGATGGTGCCGATGACGGTGCCTCGATGATGATGATGATGACGATGATGTTGAGGCTGATGATGCCCATGCAAACGATTATTAGTATGATACTGATGATGATGGTGGTGATGATGATCATGATGATGATGACGATGATGATGACGACGAGTGGTGATCACGGCGATGATGATGATAAAGAATGATGATGATGGTGAGGTTGAAGACGATGCTGATGATGATGGTGCTGGTGATGATGGTGATGATGATGATACACGGCATGCTAATGATCATGACAATGGTGGTGGTGTTGGTGGTAATGAACATGATGATGGAAATGATGATAATGAGGCTGTTGAAGATGATGCTGATAATGGTGCTGATGTTGATGAACAATGATCATGGTGATGACGATGATGATGAAATTGCTTATACGTCTGGCGGTAATGAGGACGGTGGTAATGATGCTGCTGATGACGATGATGGCGATGATGATGATGATGATGATGCTGATGATGATGATGATGATGGTGACGCTGATGTTGAATATGATGGTAACGATGCTGGTGGTGATGCAGATGGTGCTGATAATGGTGGTGGTAATGATGGGGAGAATGACCATGCTGATGATGATGATGATGATGATGATGATGATGATGATGATGATGATGCGGGTGCAGATGGTGGTGATGAACATGACGACGATTATGATGATGTTGCTACTATAGGGAATGTTGTTTATGATGATGGTGATGTTGATGATGGCTACTGTGGTGAAAGTGATGATGATGCTGCGGCTGCTGCTGATGATGATGCTAAAGGGAATCGTGATAAAGACGATGTTATTGGTGGCGATGGTGGTGATGATGGTGATTATGATGATGCTGCTGATGATGAGCGATGATGGTAATGGTGGTGCTGCTGCCGCCGAAGATTGCGATGCTGATGGTGATTATGAACATGATGACGATGATGCTGCTGATGATGATGGTAATGAGTATGCTCATGGGGTTGGTGCTGATATGGCTGCTGATGGTGGTGATGAAAATGCTGTTGCTAAGGATGATGCTGGCACTTGGTGATGCTGCTGATGATGCTGCTGATGAGACGATGATGATGCTAATGTGAATTCCCTACCTAGGCTCTGCCTAGAAGGGCTCTTACTCTCTGGGCTTAAAAGGGCCGGGCAGTGGAAAGTGCCCCGGGAGGTTCACCCAGTATCCGCCCCGCGGTTCCCCTAGCCTAGTTTAGCTTTGCCTAGCCTAGCTTAGCTTAGCTTACCTTACCTTAGCTTAGCTTAGCTTGGCTTAGCTTAGCTTATCTCATCTTAGCTTAGCTTAGCATAGCTTCGCTTCGTTTAGCTTGGCTTGGCTTGGCTTGGCTTAGCTTAGCCTACCTTAGCTTAGCTTAGCTTAGCATAGCTTACCTTAGCTTAGCTTAGCGCAGCATAGCGCAGCGCAGCATTAGCACAGCATAGCATAGCATAGCATAGCATAGCCAAGCAGAGCATAGCATAGCATAGCATAGCGCAGCATAGCATAGCATAGCATAGCATAGCTGTTGATGTTGATGTAGATGTAGATGCAGGTGTAGATGTAGATGTACATGTAGCTGTCGGTGTAGATGTAGATGTTGCTTTCCTAAATGCTCCAACTCCTAGGTAGGGTCGCACTGGGATAATAATGATGCTGATGTAACTGATTAGGATGGTGATGTTGACGGGGATGAGGATGATAATGATGATGCTGCTGATAACGATGATGATGCTGCTGATGGTGGTGATGATGATGACGATGATGATGATGACGACGAAGATGATGACGATGATGCTGCTGCCGCTGATGAGGACGAGAATGAGGATGAGGAAACTGTCACGGCTGTTGATGCTGCTAATGCTAATGCTGATGACGCTGCAACTTATGATAGACATGATGGTGATGGTGATATCGATGCTGATGAGGATGCTGATGATGAGAATGCTGATTATGCTGATGCTGATGCTGATGTCGCTGATGACGGTGATGCTGATGATGAGGATGAGGACGTGCATGACGATACTGATGATGCTGCTGCTGATAATGTTGACGCTGGCGATGATAATGATGGTGATGCTGATGATCATGATGATGACGACGACGATAATGCTGATGCTGCCGATGATGATGCTGTTGATGATGCTGCTGCTGATCATGATGCTGCTGCTGATGGTGATGATGCTGCTGATGCTAATATTGCTGATGATGGTGATGCGGATGATGAAGATGAGGATGATAATGATGATGATGCTGCTGTTGCTGATGAAGCTGCTGATGATGATGCTGATGATGCGGCTGCTGAGGGTGCAGATGCTGATGATGATGATGATGCTGCTGATGGTGATAATGATGACGGGTTGCTGCTACTGCGGATGATGATGATGATGATGATGATGATTATGATTATGATGATGATGATAATGATGATGATGATGATGATGATGATGATGATGATGATGATGCGAATGCTGATGATGCTGCTGATGGTGATGATGCCGATGCTAATGATAATGACGGTGATTCTGATGGTGATGATGAATGGTGATGGTGATGATGGTGTTGATGATGATGACGATGCTGACGGTGATGGTGCTGATGCGGTTGCAATTGGTGCTGCTGCGGATGATGCTGATGTTGATGATGATGCTGCTGCTGTTGATGATGATGCTGATGATTATGCTGATGCTGGTGCTGGTGCTGCTGATGATGATGCTGCTGATGATGATGGTGATGATGGTAATGGGGATGATGATGGTGGTGATGATGATGGTGATTATGCGGACAATGAAGCTAAGTGTGGTGATGGTTATAAACGGTGGTGATGATGCTGCTGCTGTTGATGGTGGTGGTGATGGTGTGCTGATGATGATGGTGATGGTCATGGTGCTGGTGATGCTGATAATGGTGGTGATGGTGATGATGATGATGGTGGTGATGGTGGTGATGATGATGATGATGATGATGATGATGATGATGATGATGGAAATGATGATGAACCACCGCGACGACGACGCCCTCGCCCGCCACCGGGCCTGCGGTGATCCGCGCCCGCGCCGCCGGCCCCGCCGCCTGGGCGTGGCTGCCGAGCTTGTGGGAGGCCACGCCCTCGGGGCAGTCGTGCCAGCGCTCCAGAAGCCTCGCGAAAGAGGGTGGGAGGAGGGGAGGGGGGGAGAGGGGGGGGGGGAGGGGAAGGGGGAGGAGAGGGAGGGGGAGGAGGGGGGGGAGGACGGCCGGGGAGGGGAGGGGGAGGGGGAGGAGGAGGAGGAGGAGGAGGAGGGGAGGAGGAGGAGGAGGAGGAGGAGGAGGAGGAGAGGAGGAGGAGGAGGAGGAGGAGGAGGAAGAGGAGGAGAGGAGGAGGAGGAGGAGGAGGAGCAGGAAGGAGGAGGAGGAGGAACTCCGGGCCCGAGAGGGCCTGGAGCTAAGCGTGACGCCCTCAGGTGGGCTGACCGCGCACACGAGACCGTACCCAGCGCAGACAATCTCTCACATCTCATTCTTTCACTCCGCACATCCTCTACTCATGCCCACTTGTATGCGCTGAGGCCTTCCTGGGCAACATGGCGAGTCATCAACATTCCCCAACTTGGCTATACAAAATTGGCAAGGCAAGGGAACCGTATAGGACACTCGTCGAGAATTGATCGACGACATGGGCATTAGAAGACGATGGTGGACATGGATGATAAATTCACGTTGTTGGGCGAACCGACATTCAAGCGAGACATCGTTGGCACATCCAGCCCGAAGATTCGCAATACTTTTGGTGACAAAACGGTAGGTGTGCCAACTTCAGTTCTCAATGAGAACGAGCCTGTATTCTTACCCAGTGAAGTGGGATAGTACAGTTGCCAACATAGTGATTCATATCTGCAGTTGCCAGATTTGCTCTCGCTGCCTGTCTCGCTCTTGTTCCCATCGCCGCCTCCCTTATGAACGCCGCGCGAAGCAGCATGCGACGAAAACGCTGCCGACGACGCCCTTCACCACGCTTCTCTTCCCCCCTTCGCTGACGCCTTGCCCCGCGACCACGTCCCTCAACCCAGCGACGCCGACGACGATGCCACTTGTGTCTCCCTCAACGACGACGATGACTACCCGTGAGAGGGCTTCTTGGACGACGGTATGCCAGGAGAAACAGACATGCCAAACTCGAATGACACACATTAGGCTTACATCAGTAGTGGTCGACCTATCGGAGCCGACATTTCACTTGCTGACGTTGACACGCAACATATCGACCGTACAAAGTACAAACTGTGAGTGATTCAGGCACGATTGCGAGAACTTGTTCTACCAATGTTCCAGGGTATGCCGATCCTGGAATGGATGAGCATGAAGAACTCATCGGTATCATTCGCGACAGCCTCCCGATTCGTGAATTCGCCCAGGTTTTGGCTAACACGGATACGAATGAAGTCGAGCGAGGTGCCACGCACGACCAGATTCCCATTCCCATCCGCGATGAATTCCTTGCGGTCGCTACCGAATACGATTACACACGTATGTTTGCTATTGGTCGCGTCTGCGACGCACTCATCTCCTCTCTTGTTGCGAACGGGATCCATGTAAAACATTACATGCAGGAGCTGCGTGCGGACGAGGCTGACTTTGACTCCCAATTCGGCGTGATACTGGGATCGATTACCTCGACATAGCATTTTGTCCCTAGGAGTAGCCCTTCTTTTGTCATTCTCTCCCCCACTCATTTTTGGCCCTGCAGTGCATGACGGTCCCTCCTGCTGTCGTCCCAATCGAAACTTCGTCGTCGTCGTCGTCTTTGTCGTCGTCTCGTGTCTCCCGCTCCTCTGCCGTGAGGCCGCTCTCCTTCTGTCCCCCCCTCTTCGTTAATTCAAGCTTCGCGCGGCCCGCTTAGCTTCGACCGGAAGAGGTGCGCTCTCGACCCGCGAATCAAAAAAAATGTCTCCCGCTCCTCTCGCCTCTCCCGCTCCCTCTGCTGGCCGTCGGCCTCTCCTCTCCCCTCGGGGGCAGCCCCTCGCTGCTGGCCGGTGAGCGGCGCTCCCGTGTGCCCGCTTGCGGATGCGCGTGGGTGCACCGAGCGCCTCCTGCGGCTCGGTGCCGCCCCGCGCCTCCCACCTGGGCCTCACCCGTCGCTGCTGCTTGCTGGTGGACCGACTTGGCCCCGTGCCCAGAGCCACTGCCGAGTTCCTCCGGCCACGTCTCTCCGATTCCTTTGATGTATGCTCTCGTCATGTCTCATCGTTGCGGGAGCGGTGTGTCAAAAGCGTTCACTGTATGGCATAAGCAGCACCATACTTCAGCAGAGAACATTACAAGTTTTTCATGTGCGCATTGCTGCCCTCGCCGGGGGCCCTGGCTAGCGCCCGCTCCCCCATTATTATTTTGGCACGTGATGCAGCCGAGATCGACTAGGGAGTCGGCATCTGGAGAGGACGTTAGAGACGGGGTGGAGGTGGGTTGGGTATGAAAAACTTTGCCTGTGCTTACTCTGTCGGGGATCGCCCTGGCTGAGCTCCTGTCGGAGCCTCTTGTTTCGCCTATCCTCGCACCGCTCGGTATGCTGTTGCATGTAGAGGAGGTGGTGGGGGAGATTCTGAGGTTGGAGGAGGAGGAACGCTCGTTTTCATTCGGTATCGCATTGCAGTGGCTGCTCCCAATGTTTGAGCCCCGCGGCAGGCCAGCCCACAGGGCCGGCCTTCACTTCCCACCGACAGTGAGGAGAGTCTACCAGGCCAGCCACCTACGTGCCAGCCTACAGTCAGCAGTCACAGAGGGTCCGCGCGAAAAGAATCGACAAGAAGCACGCGGTTCCCAGGTCCGGGAGGTTAGGGGTAGACCCAAAGAGCCCTGGGTAGCAGCCCAAGAATTGCCGCCAGGCTTGCACTCATCATCTTACTCGCACGCTTCTGGCACAATGCCAGCCTTCGCCTGCACTCTACAGCTAAACCGTAGCGTAAGGATGCGCAATAAGGGTGCAAGGGCCTTGGACGACCATTTCGAAGCTTTCCGAGCGGGGCGCGGCCAATGAAAGTCGCCAAGGATGGACCGAGGAGGCAAGGATGCAAGGGTACCCTTGGGAAGGTTGCCCATCCTTACTATGCGGGCTGACTGCACTCTTGGCAGCGTAAGCTCATCAGCTCTTACCTGTTTCCTGCGCCATACTTGCTCTTGCTGTTTACCTGTGATACGAGACAGCGCGTACCATTGAATATTAAGGGGGTTAGCATCACTATACTTAAGTATTGGATGGACCCTTATTACTAAGATCGCTGACCTCTCGTACCTGGCGGGCGCCTACTTTGTGTTCTACACTTGCCGCCGCCCTTTTCCTACAGCTGTTTCTGCGGCGCCCGCCAGGTACTCTGTGCCCCGAGCCGCGCTGTTTTTTTTCTTTTCCTCGCACTAGTTCCAGAACGCAACAGGTTCTCTCCGAATGTTCGCCTAACGTAAAAACAAGGAGAAGGAGGAGGAGGAGGAGGAGGAGGAGGAGGAGGAGGAGCAGGAGAGGGAGGAGGCGGGAGGAAGGGGAGGGGAGGGAGAGGAGGAGAGGGAGGGGAGAGTCAGGATAGGATGGGGGAGCAGGGAGGAGGGGGGAGGAGAAGGAGGAGGGGGGGGAGGGAAGGGAGGGAGAAGAAAGGGAGGACAGGAAGGGGGAGCAACAAGGAGGGGGAAGATGATGAGGCTGGTTCACTGGGCCAGCCGAACACCATTATCTGATTCACCGGGTTCACATGCCTTCCGTCCTCCCGTCCTTTCTGTATTGCTTCTCCTCGTCACCCTCCTCCTTTCCGTCCTATTCCTCCCACCTCTCTTCCTCATCCTCATTTTGGCCTCCTCCTCCCTCGCCGTCGTCAGTGTCGCTGTCCTCCTCCTCCTCCGCCGCCTCCTCCTCCTCGGCATTGTTCTTATTGTCCTCCTCTTACATCCCACAGTCAACAATACGAGCCACAATAGTATCAGCATCCACCGCAACATTACCACAACCCGAATCATGAAGCGTGCTGGCGTGAGCGGGATTGGTATAATCACTCGACGCGGAGGTTCCCATAGGTGCATTTTTGTTTCTCCGCGCGGACGGCATCGCCCAGCGGCTTCTACCGATCCTGGGTGCGTGGCCGCCCCCCGCAAACCGCAGGGGACCGGCTGGGCGGCCCCGCCGGAGACGGCGCGCGCGCGCGCGGCGGGGCAGGGAGAGTTCGCTCTCTCGCGCGCAAGGGCGCGCGGGGGAGATCGGGGGAGCGCCACGGCCGTGCCGCCGACCCGGTCATCTCGCAGGAGGCCCTTCGCGGAGGAGCACGAGCGCGCGAAAGCGACGCTACTGGCCTCCCTCCGCGAACCTCCCCGGGGGCTCGGGGTCGTCGAGGTCCCGCAGCAGCGTCTCGAACGCGCGGTCGATGTGGTCGACCGCGCCCGTGGAGGACTGGCACTGCTGCTTCACGTCGCCGGGCCCGGGGGCGGCGCCGCGCGCGGGGGCCGTGAACTTCGTCAGGCGCAGCTCGCGGTCGGCCGCCTCCACGGCGGGGTCCGCCCGCATGGCCAGCAGGTCCCGGTGCAACGCCTCGGCGCCCGCCTCGCTGCTCGGGTAGCGGGCGGCCAGGCGCTCCCTCGCCGGGTGCGACGACTTGCCGCTGTGCCACCTCGCTATCATCTCGCCGCAGCGGGACAAGCAATCGTCCTCGAAGAAGCCGAGCTCTTCGTCCTCCGGGAGCCTCTCGGCCTCCGGCACCACCTCCCACGCGCGCGTCATGTTGGCCAGCGCGAGCACGAAGTCCTCGGGAGTGATCGGCCCCACCGATTCCGCCTCGCTGACCTGCGCGCCGGCGAAGAGCCAGGCGGCGAACCGCTCCAGGTCCACGCGGCCCGAGGCGCTCTCCGTGCCGGAGGCGCCGACCATCACGTTGATCTCCGTGTCGGACCAGTTCGGGAACAGCGCCCGCATCACAGTGACCAGGTCCTCTCGCCTCACGGAGCCGCGCTCCTCCGGGTCCAGCCTCCTCAGGGCCTGCATGAACGCCCTTTGAGTGTCCATGGCAGCGCCGTCGCTCTCCGCCGCCATCGCACGGGCCAGGCGCCGCCGGGCGAGAGAGCGACGACGACGACGAGGACGACGAGGACGACGACGGCGACGACGACGACGACGACGACGACGACGACGACGACGACGACGACGACGACGGGAGTTGGAGTGGGACGGGAGGGGGAGGGGGAGGGGGAGCGGGAGAGCGCAGGAGTGCGGGGGGAGAGCGGACGGAGGGCGGCGGGCCAGGCCGCTTGAGCCAAAATGGCCACGGAGGGTTCCTACGGGTGCGCTCCATCTCCTGGCACGTCCCGCTGCGGATGTGTGTGGCCGTGAGCGTCTGGGTGTGAGAGCAGGTCCGAGTGGAGTAGGACGCGGAGGCCAGCTACGAGGAGGGACAGCGGCGACGACAGCTCACAGACAGACACGCTGTGAGCAGGCCCTCTCCGTCCTCTCCCTCCTCGTCGTGCCTCCTCCCTTCTCTTCATCCCTCTTCCCTTCTCCCTCTTCCTTTATCCTCATCCTTCCTCTTTCGTCCTCCCTCCTCCGTCCTGGTGGCCGTCCTTCCCCCTCCATCGAAAGGGCCATGAGGCTCTGAATGTGCAGGAGTCGGAAGTGCACAAATGGGCGCCTCGCTCGATACCTCACCACGATCTGGCTGCCTGGGGTGTCGAAGCCAGCGCCTCGCCTGAGACATCCTCACCATCTGCTCAAAATGCGCCGACGTGGAAGGCACCGAACAAGCACACCGCCTGAGACATCCCCACCATCTGGACGCGAACCGGCCTGTGAAATACCCGCTGGCGGCTCCCCCTTCCTTGGGGTGCTTCACCCAGCGCCTCGCCTGAGACATCCCCACACTCTGCCCTGAAAACGCCACTGTCCAAGCCATCAAACAGGCAAACCACCCGAAGCATCCCCACACTCTGGGCGAGGCCGGGCCCGCGAAGTTCCCCCTGGCGGTTGCCCCCCTGGGGCGCTGAAGCCCGCGCTTGGCGTGTGAGAACCTCCGTGGGATACCCGCTCTTGGGGTGCTGAAGCCAGCGCCTCGCTTGAGACACCCTCACAAGTTGAGTGTGAGGCGAGCCTGAGTGTGAGTGGTCTGCGTGAGCGAGTTTAAATGTGAGTGAGCGTGAGTGTGGGCGACTCTGAGTGTGTATGAGTCTGATTGTGAGAGGTGAGTCTGAGTGTGAGTGCATCTGGGTCTGAGTGTATCCGAGTGTGAGTGTACCTGAGCATGAGTGAGCCTTCGTGTTGCGTCTAAATTTGAGTGAGTCTGACTGTGAGTGCATCTGAGTATGTGTGATGTGAATGCGAGTGAGTCGTAGCATGAGTTATCTGAGTGTGGTGAAAGGGAACAGGAAGATGAAGATTTGGTAAGGGAGTGTGCGAGTGGGTCCGAGTATAGGTGGGTCTGGGTGGGGGAGAGGAGTGGGGGAAGAGGCTTGTGTGGTGTGAGTCGGAGGCGTCAGAGTAATAGCAGGAAGCCCATCTTTGGATACAGGGAAAAAGCAGCTGCCAGAGGTCTGCGTTGAGCAGACGTTACGTGGCAACTGGTCACCACCATCACCGCCATCACCGTCGCCATCGTTCCCGCCACCATCATGGAGTCCTTGTCTACGGTCCCTCCGTGCGCCGTACCCTTCAAAAGTCGGGATATCATCGTCGTCGTCATCATCGCCGTCCTCGCTATCACCATCATAACCCCCACCACCACCGTCTGTAGACCATGTAATGTATGATACCGATACTGCTTCTCGCTGGACCTCTCCCAGGGTGCATTCCGACCGAAATTTCGAAGCGAATCCAGCTGTGGCGACGAGGGCCTCCCAGGAGGCCCGAAAAGGCGAAAACGAGGCAAGGGTAGCGGTATCGGTGCCTTTTATATCCTATGACCGTTGCCACCATCGTCATCGTCACCACCATCTAAGGGAACAAATAATGACATAAACACAACATTTCGGAGGTCTGCTCGGATTTCTCGGATCCGCGCTGGACCCCTCTTTGGCACGCGATGCGAAGAGATCTGCGAGGAGCTCCGACAGTTTATGTTTATGCCGTTTTTGTTCATTGACTCTCCTCCTATGTCCGATGCCACCATCGCCATCGTCACACCACCATCGCCATCTTTATCATCTTTGCCATCGCCAGCTCGATCCCCAGACATGCGACGTCCTGATGTTTCCTCTTCGCGGTCCCCAGAAATCCAGACCCGTTCCACGGGACCGATTTTTCATCCCGAATCGTTTTTTGACGGTCCCGGGGCCCGGTGAGGGCCCCAAGGGGCTGATAACGACAAAAAGCCTCCGTCGTACGGATCAGATAGACCAGGGTGAAGTAGAAGTACTGGCCAAACGCTGGAGCATGAATCGGCACCTGGACATGACGATCGAGCCGCGCCCAAAGATCACCAGGGCTGGGCACCCGACGGTGATGTGCAAAACGACCGAGAAGAAGCTGATTCCGCACACGAGCACCTGCGATTGCTGCAACGCGAGCATGTGTGAGCATTCAGCTAACTTTCTGCCCGCAGGCCCAACGAGCGCGCGGGCCGCTCGAGAAGCTCCGGGGCGCGGAGCGAGTGAAAGTCGCCCCAGCAAGAGAGGCCGAAAACGCGAGGCCGACCAAGACGAAAACCTCCGACCTGACTTTTGGTCGGCTACACGCAAGAGTGACCCCAGGCAGGAGTGGCCTTTGTTGCGCGACTTAGCGGGGGACGCGGGGTGGCCCAATAAGGGCGCGCAAACGGCTGCTACCGCTGCGGAAGCTTCGTGCTCAGCGATCGGATGTCACCATTGGGCCCACACCAAAGGTCACTCTTGGGACAGGTCACTCTTACGTCTAGTCGACTTTTTTTGGCGACGCGAGCGCCACTGTCGCACCACCTCCTCCTCCTCCTCCTCCTCCTCCTCCTCCTCCTTCCCCTCCCCCTTCCCCTCCCCTCCCCCCCACCCCTCCTGCTCCTCCTCCTCCTCCTCCTCCTCCTCCTCCTCCTCCTCCTGCCCCTCGGCACCCCACCCTCCTCCTCCTCCTTTTCTTCCTCCTGTCTGTGCCAGCACCGCCGTCGCCCTGCGAACGGCGCCGCGGCGGGAGGCTCTGTCGGCCGTGGGGCCTCCCGGAGCCGGGCAGCGCCGCGAGGGCGTCGGTTGTGTTCCGCCTCGGCGCCGGTCGGGGCGCTCTCGGCGGCGGTGCGGACAAGGCGGCCCGGAGCCCGCGCGTGTCGGCGAAAAATCGAGGACGGGGAAGGAGGGAGGGGGAGGGAGGAGAGAGGATTGGGGAGGGAGGAGGGAGGGGGGAAGGAGGGAGGAGTGGGGGCAGAGGGGGAAGATGGGGGCAGGGGGAGGAGGGGAGGGGGGAGGAGGGAGGAAGTAGGGAGGAGGAGGAGGAGGCAGGAGCAGGAGCAGGAGCAGGAGGAGGAGGAGGAGGAGGAGGAGGAGGAGGAGGAGGAGGAGGAGGAGGAGGAGGAGGAGGAGGAGGAGGAGGAGGAGGAGGAGAGGAGGAGGAGGAGGAGGAGGAGGAGGAGGGGGGGGAGGAAGAGGAGAGGAGGGGGAGGAGAGGAGCAGGAGCAGGGGAGGAGAGGGGGAGAATGAGATGAGGATGATGATGATGATGATGATGATGATGATGATGAGATGAGGAGGAGGAGGAGGAGGAGGAGGAAGAGGGAGGAGGAGACAGGAGGAAAGGGGGATGATGATGATGATGATGATGATGATGATGATGATGATGATATGATGATGATGATGATGATGATGATGATGATGATGATGATGATGATGATGATAATGATGATGATGATGATGCTGATGATGATGATGATGATGAGATGATGATGAGGAGGAGGAGGAGGAGGAGGAGGAGGAGGAGGAAAAGGAGGAGGAGGAGGAGGAGGAGGAAAAGGAGGAGGAGGAGGGGGAGGAGGAGGAAAAGGAGGAGGAGGAAAAGGAGGAGGACACGACCACTGCGCCTCCCAGAAGAGCTGACGCTCGTCTGGGAGGTCCAGTTCGGAGAAGCCAGCCAACAGCCTAAAGGGCAAGGCTGATTTTTTCAATACGCTGGAACTCTGGGTATCCCTCCCACCCAACCTTTCCGATTGCGCTGTCTGTTTCTATATCCGCGGACGCACGCCACAGCGGACGTGGAACTCCCCAGCACACAAAAATCCCATCGTTCGCAATCGCAAAAGGGGCAGCGGAGCAGCAGGAAAGCGAGGAGAAGGAACGAGGAGGAGAAAGAACGAGGAGGAGGAGGAACGAGGAGGAGGGACGAACTGCAGCGGCGGGAACTGGAGTGGAAGGAGAAGGAGGAGCAGGGCAGGGGGAAGGTGGAGGAGGTGAAGGGAGGGGGGCGACAACGATGAGGAAGAACTCGGATCCAGAAGAGCGGCCCGCGCGGGAGGCGAGGGCGCCGCTCCTCCTCCACCTCCTCCGCCGCCTCCGGGAGCGAAGCGCCCGGGGGCACCATTGCTGACACGCCGAGAACAACCGGGTGGTGAACGACCGCGGAGAGGGCCTGGCCTCTTCCGGACAGAGTCACTGGAAAGAGAGAGAGTGAGAGAGGAGAGTCGCATTCGTACTAATGTGTGGGTGTCAAGGGGGGATGGGGGAGGGTGGGAGGGAGGGAGGGAGGGAGGGCGGAGGGAGAGAGGGAGCGACGAATGGGGGAGGAGGGGGAGGGAACGGAGGGATAGGTGGAGGAGGCAGAGGAAGACGAGGAGCATGAGGAGGCGGAGGAGGACGAGGAGGAGGAGCAGAGAAGGAGGGAGGGAGGGAGCGAGGCAGGGGGAGGAGGAGGAGGAGGAGGAGGAGGAGGAGGAGGAGGAGGAGGAGGAGGCGACGGCCGAGGGCAGATTCTGGCTCCGACCCTGGCGGCGGCGGCGAGCGCGGCGCCTGCGCGCGGCCTGGCGCAGCAGCGCCCGCCACCGCCGCCACTCGCCGCCGCGGCAGAAGGGGCCCGGGAGGCCGTACCTGAGCATCGCCTGAGCATCTCCTCCCCTCCCTCCCAACCTCCCTCCTCCTCCCTCCTCCTCCTCCTCCTCT